AGCTGAGCCGTGTGATCATGACTGGAGTCAAAGTCGGATGCTGGACCGACTGAGCCACCCGGGCGCCCCGTTACATTTGCTGTAGCCTTCTTGACCTCCGGCCTCCCTCTCTGTTCTCAAATCCGCAAGGTTGCCAGGCTCTTCGTGGGACACACTGCCTGCCCTGTGGGCTGGACGCGTCTCCAGGCAGAAAGCAGGGGCAATCATAAGGCTCCTTTCCTTTTTTTGGTCTTTTCTCAGGGATTACAGCTTGTATAATGTGCAAAAATAGTTGCCTCCTATATCTTGTCCGTTTTTCTTGTTACGGTAGAAGGGCAAATGCCATTCCAGTTACTACATGATGGCCTGAGGAAGAATCTCATCCAGCTCCACTTTGATTCCACTTCCAGCAGTTTCTCAATGTAGGAAACTGACCGGTAGGAATGTGGGGACGCCTGGTGGCTCAGTCAGTTAAGTATCCAGCTCTTGATTCTGGCTCAGGTCATGATCTTGGGGTCAGGGGATGGAGCCCCGCATCGGGCTCTGTGCTGGGCATGGAGCCTGCTTGGGATTCTCTCTCTCCGTCGCCCCCTGCTCCTCCCCCGCTTTCAAGTACACACACTCCCTTTCTCTCTAATAAATAAAACAGAGCCCTGGCTAATCAGTCTTAAGAGTTCACAGAGGCAAATGTTCCAGCTGTTTCTATTCTTACCAGAGTCTCTGCATTCGCTCGCGTCAGATTGGGGAAACCCCTTGCCAGCGGCACCTACTGTTCTTAAGTTACTGAGCCGTGTGCTTTCCAGTGAACGTCTCTCAGCTCCGTGGGGCCCCTTGTCCCGGGGCCTCCTCCACCCGCGGCGTTCCTCAGCCCCCCTTGCACACACGCTGGTCCGTGAGGCTTCTCTTATTGCTGGTGGTTTGTAGGTTGCCTCCATTTGCTTGTAGTTTTGGTGTTTTGGGGGAAACTTCGTCACCTAGTTTTACTGCAAATGTACGTGGCTATTCTGTTTTCGTTTTTGTTTCCCCGAAGCCGCTCTGTGAGGATATTGGAAGATTCAAAACCTATGTAACCACCAATCTAGCCACCACTTTCCTGGAATCTGGTAGAAGTTTTAAGAGCCTGAATATAATTTACACGCTCCTTCCTTCTGTCTCTGCAATAATAGATACACGTGTCAAAATGGAGCCTACATAGCTTGTGTCCCTGAGTTATTACAAGGAGTATAACTTGCTTGGTGACTCACAAGGGACAGGTAGCGTGAGCAAAAAATAAATTCGGTTGTTTTAAGCCATTGAGATTTGGAGATTTTCCATTACCGCTGCATAATCTACTCTGTTTTGAGAGAACTTTCTACCCAACTCAATTAATTTAGTTGCCCTCAGGGTGGCCACCACAAGTTAAGAAAGAGAGAATGGGGAGAAGTATGAAGGAGGAAAAGAAATAAAAATAGTTTGAGAATTGTCAAGGAAGTAACCTTTTACGTTGATGGCATATAGAATAGATTGGAAATAAATTGATAGCTTACTAAGGTTTGGGGCAATGGTGTTGCCGAAGAAACCATGCACCCACCCCCGTTATACAGAGTGAATAGTGCCCTCTGAACTCTTTTACTGTGGTACTGCTGTAACTAAATCAGCCCTGAATATGTTCTAATATATATTATCCTAGATCTCTCACAATTACCCACTATAGCATACCTCTAACCAGTGACTCTCAGAAGTTGAGACGCTGGGCCTACTTCACTTTTTCTTCAAAAATTTTAATGTTTATTTATTTTTGAGAGAGAGACAGAGATAGAGACAGAGACAGAACGTGAGAAGAGGAGGGCCAGAGAGAGAACGGGAGACACAGAATCCTAAGCAGGCTCCAGGCTCTGAGCTGTCAGCACCGAGCCTGATGCAGGGCTGAAACTCATGAACCATGAGATCATGACCTGAGCCAAAGTCAGAGGCTTAATGGACTGAGCCACCCAGGCGCCCCCCCACTGCACTTTTTTTTTTTTTTTTAAAGTGGAGAGCTCTCCAAATAAAATTACAAAAGATTGTGGTTGTTTTAAAAGTTTATCTTGACAAATAAATGCATTTGACCCTCACAATAAAATGCTTTATAACTATTCAGATACCAAGTCATTCTTTAATGCTCTAATTTTCCATCCTGATTAGCCCGATACTGAAGGGTGCCATTCTCAGTTGTTTCTTCCCAATTCCTTGGTTTCTGACTATGTTCATTAAGCAGGGGGGAAGCAGCGGGGTAGAGGTCCTAAACACGGGATCCCTGGATGGGAGAACTCCCTGCCGTAAGTTCTGTAGTAGATATTGTTTGTTTGTTTGCCTTTCAGCTGCCAGCTACCTCATGTCTAATATCAAATGGGGTGTTTAGTGCTCTTGTTTCAAAGAACAGAAGACCCAAGCCAAACTTGGTTTCCAGATCTCTCTATCACCTTGCCCTGCCAGCTAATATGGGTACATGAACTAAACGATAGCAGAGATAGAGGCTGAGCTCATGAGCTCAGCAACATGGATCTGAGCTCTCCGAGAGAGTCGGGAAGGGCACGCAGCAGCGGCAGGGGAGAGCGTGGCGGCCCTAAGGCAGAGACCTCCTCCCTGTGTTTGAGGAGCAGAGCGCCCGCCGGTGTGTCTGGCTGATAGTGATGAGCTGGAGAGGAAGAAGGGCTGATGATGCAAAGCCTCGTTGGTCCCTGTGACCGGAGGCCATGGCAGGACCCTCAGGAAGGGGGTAATGTGGTACTAGGTCCATGTTTAAAAGATCATTTCGGGTGCCGTAGAGGAGACGCAGCACACGCAGGCCAGAGCCACTCCCAGTTCGCTGCTACTGCAGTCGTCCGATGCGAGAGCTTGGGTGGCGATGGTACAAATGGAAAAAGTGGCTTGATGGTCGATGGGTTTTTGAAGCCAACCTGCTGATGGACTGAATGTGGGAGAAATCGAGAGCGGCTCCTCCAGTCTCGACGTGAGCGATTGGTTGCTGGGTGATGCCATTGATCCAGACAGGGGCAACTGGAGAAGTAGATTTGTGGTGAAAAGGGGGGATTCTGGCTTAGCTGGGCCGGGATGGAGACGCCTGATAGGCTGACAGACAGAGATGTCATGTAGGCTGTTAGAAACACAAATTTGGAGTTTCCAGAGACATCAAGGTGGAAGACAGATGTCTTGGCAACTTGGACCACACTGGGCTCTTACTGTATGGAGTAGAAGAGAGGAACCAGCCCAATTTAAGTGCGGGCACAATGGGTTATAGTTGATACTTCTGGTAGGGAGGAGGCGGCGATTCATCTTTCCTGGAAGGCGCTTATTCTGAATATGGAGTTCCTTCTCTGCGTCACATGTCTCTGGACCTGGCCCCCAGGAGGATTAGGAAATAGCGTGTCCACAGCCGGGGGTCCCATACTCCGCTGCTTCTTGCTCAGCACACAGCAGCGTTCAGTTTCCCACCCAGGGATGGCGGCAAGGAGGCGCCTCACTTTCCACAGGATTTTCCAGAACTGGAAGGAACTTTTAGAGACTCCGATCTTTTTTTTTTTTTTTTTTTTTTTAAATATTTTTTTATTTATTTCTAGGAGACAGAGAGAGAGAGAGAGACAGCGTGAGCAGGGGAGGGTCAGAGAGAGAGGGAGTCACAGACTCTGAAATAGGCTCCAGGCTCCGAGCTGGCAGTCAGCACAGAGCCTGACGCGGGGCTCGAACCCACGAACCGCGAGATCATGACCCAAGCGAAAGTCGGACGCTTAACCGACTAAGCCACCCAGGCGCCCCTAGAGACTCCGATCTTTTTGGGTAGTGACTCCAAATGCGGTCATCGACTTGCTCCTGGTGCTTTGGGAAGTGGGGGTGGCCGGACCCTCATTTCGACTTCAATCAAGGCAATCAATATTCATTCTGTATGGCGGACTTTTACATACTATTTTGTTTGAATAAGGTGTCTGCTTTTTGAAGAGCTGCCCTGGCCCTGCTCCTAGGAAGGCCGTGGCAAGTCGGGAGCAGCCGGAGGACGATTTCTGTACCCAAGGGCCCTGCGCCTCATCTCTGAGCTGTGACGGGCTGTCTTTCCCTCTGCAGCTGGGAGTCCTACCGCGAGCCTCCCAAGCCCTGGCTGAGTGACAGGGAGCGCGGGGCCGGAGATGCACAAGGGGCCCCGAGGAGGAACGTGGCAGGTGGAGAGGTCGGCAGAATCTTCCGCCAGACAGTACCTTCCACGGGGGGACTGGAGGCAATTGAGAACAGTTTGGAAGGTGCAGACTGAAGCGGGGGTGGGGAAGGGGGCGCTGAGGACACGCGTAAGGCTGGGGAAGCACCTGCTGCTGCTCGGCGCGGAGGCGCTCGGCGCTTGCTCTCACACGGATGGATCCGAGTCCAGGATGCCCAGCTGTGCGTGTGCGCGCCTGTGTGCGTGTGCCTGTGTGCGTGTGCTTGTGCGCGTGTGTGCCTGTGTGCGTGTGTGCGTGGCGGTGGGGTTGCAGACGTGGGGACTACCTGTCATTTCAGCCGCTTAGTTCGGCACGAAAGACGCGACTCTCCCACGGTTCCCACTGACCCCCATTCCCGAGCTGGGGAAACGGAGGCGCGGCGGGGAGCGCAGGCTGGCCCAGGGGCTGCGCGCCCACTCCCGCAGCGCAGGGCAGCGTGCGCTCGCGAGCCGGGGCTCTGGCGCGGGGCGAGCTCCCAGGGGCGGCGGCCGCGGGGCCCCCCCGGCCCGCCGCCGCCACCTCCGCCAGCGCCCCCGGCCTCGCCCTCCGGTCCGGAGGGGGTGCGCGACCTCCCGGAGCGCGGAGGGCGCGGGCTGGGGGCGGAGCCTCCTTGTTGTTGTTTCTCCGGGGCGCCGCCCCCAAGGGGGGCGCGGACCACGCGGCCGGAGGGCCCGCCCCCCCTCCCCCTCCCCGCCCCGCTCGCCCGCCTCTTTGTATCCAACATCCGGGTTTCCCCGCTGGCTCGGCTCCGCGGCCGCGGCTCAGGAGCCATTTTGGACTCGGTTCAGCTCCCCTCCCCCCGCCCCTCCCCCCCGTTCATGGCCCCTCCGGACTCGGCCCCTGCGCCCGGGGCCCGGGCCCAGCCCCGCCGCGCTATGCCCGAGTCGGGCGCGCCCCGGCCCGCGCCCCGCCGCCGCCCCCCGGTCCCCGCGTCGCCCCGGAGCCCGGGCCGCAACCTGCGCCGCCCGCAGCGGCCCTGAGCGCGGCCCCGCCGCCCGGCCCTCGGAGCCTCACGCCGCGCGGGGACGAAGGCGCCAGAGACGCGCGGGGGACGAGGCCGAAGGAAGAAGCGGGAAGGAGAGCGCGGCGGCCGCTGGGCCCGGCGCGCCCGGGAGCGCCGCGCGGCCCTGCCCGCGGGCTCCGGGTGTCGGCGGGGCGGCGCCGCGGAACATGACGGCGCCCTGGGCCGCCCTCGCCCTCCTCTGGGGATCGCTGTGCGCGGGTAAGGACCGAGCTCGGCGCGGGGGGCGCGGGGAGGGCGCGGGGGCCGGTCTCCCGCGCCGCGCGCTGTTTACCAACAAAGGGCGGACCCGTGGCCTCCCCGCCGCGCCACCTGCGCCCGGCTCGCACCTCCCGGGGCGGGGACTGGGGGCGCAATGGGCGCCGCGCTTGCCACTCTTGGGGGGGGACGGTCTTGTTTGCGCGGCGGCCTGGCGACCCCACGGCCCGGGCCGGGACCCGGTGCCTCGGGTCGGGGTTCAGGCTCCTCGGGCGCGTGCGACCCAGGGGGAGTAAGAGGAAAACCGGAGCGTGGGGAAGGGGCCCGGCGGGGTAGGCGGATCTCTCCTGGAGGTGGCGGGATCGTGGGTGCAGAAGGGGCTGGGGCAGGAGCGCGCGACCCTCGGAGCCTCTAGGTGTAGCGAAACGAAGGGGGCCGCTTCGCACTCCCTGGAGGAGTCCCCCGCACCCCATCCCGCCGGCGTCTGCGTCGTGTTCCCCGCGACGCGGGCAGTTGGCGCCAGCTCCCACCTACGCCCGCTTTGCCTGCGGCGGCCCCGGGACGCGAGGTGCGGTCACCGCACGCCCCGCTTTGTTTGAGGCTCCTGGGCAGAGGCGGGGTGCGACGGGAGACTAACAGGTCCCTGCTTGTGCCTCTGGGACGCACGTGGCGGGGGCGGGTGGCCGGCGGGGCTCGCGTGCCGTGGTCCAGGGTGTGTGGGTGCGGGTGCGTACACGGGGAGTGCCGCCACGGAAGCGCGTCCCCCGAGGCCGAAGCAGCGCCTTTCCCCTTCCCGTGCTGCTCGGGCGCGCCCGGCCCGGGGTGCGCGTGCGGACGGGCTCCGCGTCCAGCTCGGGGGGCTCCAGGCGGCCCCGGGCAGCGTGCAGAGCCGCGCGCTGAAGCCCCAGGGCGAAGCCCGGGGAGGTCGCGGCGCCGGGTCTTGCGAGTCTTTGTTCCCAGGCCCCATTACACATGCAGCGCGGGTCCCCGGCCGCCCGCGGTGGCGGCGGCGCAGAGTCCCGGAGACCCGCGGGGGCGGGGCCTGGGCCGCGGGGGCGGGGTGGGGACCCTCTGCCCCGTCGGGCCGCACTCTGCCGCCTCCGTTTAATGCAGCGTCGCCGAGTCGTCCACACCCCGGAGCAGGTGCGTTCCCCGTGTGGAGTTTGGGGCTGCGTAGCCTGCGTGCGGGGTCAGGACGGAGACCCCCGTCTCGGTACTCGGGCCCCGTGTGCGACGCGGCGTCGCGGCCCGTTTGGAGCTGTTTCCTGTGTGCTGGAAGCACAGCGACGGTGTTGGACTGGGCCTCTGTCAGCGCAGAGGAAGAGCAGGAAGAAAGGCATTGCCCTCCGGGGGGACAGGGCTGATGGGCCGGCAGCACCGGCCTGGCCGTCTCTAGAAGCGTCTTTCAGTCCCGCCCTGCCTGCAGACAGGGCCGCCTCCTAGCAGGGCAGCCCCGGACCCGGACCGGACCTGACCGTCTCGCCCCGGTCCCCGCAGCCTCCCTTCCCGCGGTGATGAGACAGCGCGGCCTGGGACTGGGCCCCTCGCGCGTGGGGGGAACTGAGCCGTGCGCCCTGCAGAGTGGGGCGTGGAGGGGCATCCGAGGAGCCGCGGTCCTGCCCCGGGAGGAAGGTGGGGTCGCTGGGTGCTTCTTGCGGTCACGCCCGCGGGTTTTGTGGTGCCCACCGCCCTGGTCTGCGAGTTGCTGGGGGCAGAGCCGGCCCAGGCCCAGGCCCAGGTGGGGGAGAGCCGGCCCCCCTCTTCATGGGTGTCCCCCTCCAGGTCCCCGGCGTGATTACCCCCAGCCCCTGCGCACGCGGTAGGAGGAGCAAGAGCAGCCCCGTCCCACAGAAATACCGGGTCAGCCACGTACATAACTTAGAATGTTCTAGTAGTGGTGTCAGGAAGCAGGTAAAGAGGTGTGTTAGTCTGCCCCCGCCGCTGTACTAAATACCGCAGGCAGGTGGCCTAAATAACGGAACTGATTTCTCATGGTTCCTGCGTCCGTGTGCCAGCAGGGCAGGGGTGTGGCGAGGGCCCCTCCTGGCTTGCGGATTGCGCCTTCTCACTGCAACCTCACCTGTCGTGGCCTCTCCTGCGTGTTTGGAGGGCGGGGCAGAGAGGGATCATTCTTCCTCTTCCACTGATCCCAGATCGAGGGCCCCTCATGACCCAGTCCAGCCCTGGGTACCTCCCAGAGGCTCCAGGTCCAAATACCATCATTTTGGGGGTTAGGGTTTCAACATACACATTTTGAGGGGACACAAACGTTCCATCTATAACAAGATGAAATTAACTTTGATGGTGGACTTATGTAACCTAATATATACAAAGTAATCATTTCGCCATGTAATAAGTATTAAAACGGTTAATGAGGTATTTTACTTTCTTTTTCTTTTTCTTTTTCTTTTCTTTCTTTTTTTGGTACTATCATCAAAGTCCAGTGTGTATTTTATACTCACAGAACATCTCAACTTAAACTTTCCCCGTTTCAAGGGCTCCGTAGTCACATTTGGCCGGTGGTTTACCGTATTGGATGGTGCAGGCCTAGAAGAAAAGGCAGAACTGAGGCTGGCATAGTGGCTCACGGTGCTTGTTGCACGATCAGTTCTGCGAGGTCAGTGTTTGGGGCTCCGTGCCTGGCCCCGCGTCCTTGTGTCAGAATGAGTTGGTTGGTTCTTGCCTCGCAGTGGAGATCCTGGACACGTGTCTGCGTGTCTCTTGAGAACTCCTGACGTCCATCTCTGTGTTTCGGGTTCAGAATCGGGTAGGGTGGAGAATGTTGCGAGTGGACTGTCAGGGGCCCCTGGGGGAGGAGGACGCGACTCTTGCCCGGCCCATCCGGAACTGCCAGCCTTGACGCCCCGAGTGGTCCTCACAGGCCGGCCGCTCTCTGACCCACACGTGTCGTGCGTTTCCCGGGGGGAGAAGTGTGTGAGCGTGCTGAGTGTAGTGACCCACGGGCTTGGTCTGGCGGTGGCTGTTAAGGGCACAGACCACAGAGCCACTGGCTGTTGGTGCCATTTCTCAGGGAACGGCGTCCTGTGCTACATATCCGGGTGCCTGCTGGGTACTCAGGCCCGTCGCTGGGTGGGCTGCCCTTTGGGCGGAGCGGGCACCTTCATCTCTTGGAGGCTCTTCCGAGGTCAGTGATGAGAGCAGCTCGCCCAGCCTCGCAGGCTCTGTAGCCGTGTGGACACACAAGTCCCGGCCCCCCGAGCCTCCGCGGCCTGGCCGGGCCTCTGCTGGGCCACCCTGCATGGTCTGTGGGCTTCGAGAATCACCACACAGCACCCGGACTCCCCTGGGCCTCCACCGAAGGAATCGCCTTTTCTTTCTTTCTTTCCTGTTTATTAATTTTGAGAGAGAGAGAGTGTGCGTGCGCATGGGGGGAGGAGGGGCAGAGGGAGGAGAGAGGGAACCCTAAGCAGGCTCCACGCCACAGACTGTGACATCGTGACCTGGGCCGAAACGAGCTGGGCTGAGCCACCCAGGCGCCCCGGGAAACCGCGTTTTCGTGGAGCCCAGTGAAGAGTGCCCATCGTCTGCCATGGACCTGTGTGTCCCGTGGTCCGTCTGAGAAACTGATGAAAGCGGTGAACTCCTCCCCCTGGGAAGACACAAATAAGAGGAAAAGCATGTGCGTGTGACAGCGGCTCACGCGTTGCGCGTTCACACTAGCTGTGTGGCGCTGTCGCCGGGGACATGTGGCCCGCTGCACTGGGCTCCGTGCAGTCTGGCTGCGCTGCACGGAGCCGCCGTACTGGTGGTCAGGGCGGCTTGTGGGCTTGGGGGGCTGCACTGGGCTTGTTCCCACGTTGCTTCCTCCATTCACCCTGTCTAGCCACTGGACGTGACTTCTTTGCTTCTGCCTTTTGTGACCCCTGCGTAGTGTCTGCATGCTAGCCCCTGGCTCCTCTTCCCCCTCCAGGCAGTCCCCCGCCCCTGACTGCCAGTGCACTCAGCCCCTTCCTGGGAGCCCAGGGTGGTGCAAGCGGGACCAGGGGGCCTCCGGTTAGAGCTTACGGGCTTGGTACTGTGGACTGAGGTCTGGCGGCTCTCGGGGAGTTGGTCTGGGGAGCACCTGGGAGAATGACACTGGGTGTGACAGCCCTCAGGCATGGTCCTGGCTGTGTAGACGAGAGCAGAATTTCTCAGTTCTCAGCTCTGGGCCTCAGGATCCTTTGCGGTGTGTGTGTGTTTGGGGGTGGGGGTGGGGAGAGCCCTCTGTGCCCTAAGGTGTTTAGCACCATCCCTGGTCTCCAGCCACTAAGTGCTAGTAGCAGTACTTGCTGTTTATTTTTATTTTTTATTTTTTTTATTTAACAAAATTTTTTTTAATGTTTTATTTCTAGGAGGTAGAGACAGTGTGAGCAGGGGAGGGTCAGAGAGAGAGGGAGTCACAGACTGAAACAGGCTCCAGGCTCTGAGCCGGCAGTCAGCACAGAGCCCGACGCGGGGCTCAAACCCACGAACCGTGAGATCATGACCCAAGCGAAAGTCGGACGCTTAACCGACTAAGCCACCCAGGCGCCCCGTGCTGTTTATTTTTTAATGTTTATTTTTATTTGTGCGAGAGAGTGGGGGAGGGCCAGAGAGAGAGGGCGAGAATCCCAAGCAGGCTCCGCTGTCAGCGCAGCGCCTCAGGAGGGGCTCGAACCCGAGAACCCTGAGACCACGGCCTGAGCCGGAGCCCAGAGTTGGGCGCTTAAGGGACGGAGTTGCCCAGGCGCCCCAGTGCCGGCGTGGTTGTGACCAGGGAAATGCCCTGAATGGAGGGCTCGCAAATCACCTCGGGTTGCAAACGCCTGATGCGGGTTCTGGGTTCCCGGCTTGAAAGAGACGGCCGCGGGAGCGGGGTGCGGCGCGTGCGGATCCGGGTGGGAGGCCGGGGTCTCCAAGCCAGGGCCCCCGCGCGTCCGCCTGCGCGGCTCTGAGTCTGGTGGGACGCGAGCGGCCGGGAGCCCGGGGGCAGCCGCGGGCGGGATCTTGGCGGCCTCGAG